TGAGATTACGAACAATGTTATTTTGTTTTGAGAAACTGCACAAGCACTGATATTTTGTTATTTGTCCTTAAAAGTACTTTTAATAAGATCCAGGGAGATATGTAGAGCTAACATATTTTATTTTTAATTCTATCAGCATCTTCACAAATTGTACAAACTCATGGGACAAATTTTCCCATGCGGTAATATTCTGTGCAAAAAGTTAGTGTTATGGTTTATGTCATGAAATGTTGTATTCTCAATGATTGCATTGATTGAAGAATGTCGATATAATGATGGTATATAAAGTATAATTTTGAAGATGCGATAATCTCATCTTCCCAGAAATGCATTTCCCTAAAAATCTCGAGATCAATGTTTTCTCAAACAAAACATTACAAAACACAAGGAATAATCAAAATTAGATGATGTGTATACACGTAAAAGTACTATCGCAAAATGGAAAAAATCTATGAGCAATCAAAAAAACGTTAACAATTACATAACGCTTTGCGTACTGCTTTCCGAATGTCTGTGACGCTAAATCTCTACAGATCACTGACGTCGCTCTATGAACTGAATTCATAAGACAAATCGCACCATCCTGTCTTTTAATACGGAACTGTCCCTTCATAAGAAAAATATGTTGGCGTCGCAGATATTCTTACGTCATCACTTACGTGTATGTCTCCTAAAGTCATTTGAACTCGCACACTTCTGAGTTTGAAAGTGATACTCAATTCCATTTTGACATCGATGACGAGGTTTTCCACCTGACATCTGTAAGAAAAGATGTCAAAAATTAGATAGGAGTTGCTGTCATGTAATACTCATGTGGTGAAGAAGACCTTGGGGATCAAATCAGTCGATACTTAACGTAATATATAAATTTAGATAAAATTTTTTGTACTTTTTGTCATGACATATTTATCATATGATATATTTCTGATAAGGGCAATCTTGCATTGTGTGAACATCGACAATACTATAAAACCAACGACCTAGAATATACTACATAGAGTAGCCGTTGCGCGTCCACCTAAGCAACATATTGAAGCCATGTTTTTGCATGCAAAGTAGCGCCCTCTAGAGAAAGAGTATTCTTACATTCCGATTGGCGCTGGTTGAGGCCGGGTGGGCGTGCGTCGCGAGTAATATAAATCATCTTAGGGCCGATTTTACCACGTCCGCTAAAGATTGTTAAGCGAGGCTTTAGCAGAAATAAGCGCGCTTAGCGTTAAACTACGCTTTGTACATAAGCGCTCGCCTCACGATCGATTACGACAGTTAAGCCGGCTTAAGGAGACCAAAGAAACATGGCGGAGAGGATATGTGCAATTGTATTCGGTGACGACAAGGACGACCACGTTTTTGAAGAAAAAAATTTCCCCCCTAGGCAAACTAGATGAGCGGAAAAATTTCTGAAATTGATTTTCGAACTCGCTTTCGGCTTTCGAAGAGGTCGACATTATTGGTGTTGGAGCAGATTGAAAAAAAAAACTAGAATTTACTTCTCACATGTGTAGTAGAGTCTAATTGTAACTACAAACGGAGAGCTGAAATATTACACATGTAATAAACAATAACAGTCTCGGTAACAATGAAAATATAACATTTGTAACTCAGGACATGGTTATGATAGGCATGCATCAGTATAGTATTTCGATTTTAAATACCGTTCGAATTTGAACACTACAAAATTCTAGTCATAATCCTGTTAATTTGATGTTCAATAGTAACTGGCATAAAAAATCGCATTTTAACAGCGATAATTTTTTTAATGGATTTTTATGATTTATGTATTTAATATATCCAAAACGATTGCGAAAAAATAACCCTATGCACAGAACTTTGTAAGACAATTTTATTTCATTTGCCAATGTTTCAACTCATTATCCAACTTTCAGGGCTGTAAGTGTAACATAAGATATTTTGTCATGTAATATGATTATTCTTTCTATAAATAATAAATCTATAACATTCCTTTCAGCAAGACAATGTTATTATGATGTAACAAAATAACTTGATACAATGAACAACAAAAATAAAAATTCACACACTGTCAGCACACTATAAGGACTGGATAAAATGATGGTGGTCCACAATTTCAAAACATGGACAGAACTGTGTCAAATGACGTGCATAACGTTGATGTGTTTACTTTCTAGCCTTGCCAACATTAGCGGAAGACGCGCGAAACCCGCTTAGCTCAGCCGCTAGATAGCCCCGAGGGGACTGGTGAAACGCGTTGGCCCTAAGCTCGCTTAAATTGAGAACTTAAATTTTGAGCCTGCTTAACAAAGCAGCGCTTAACGAAATATAAGTAAAACCGGCACTAATTCTGTTTCATGACCAAAAACCAATCATTTAATACCGAAATCACACTATGTAAGGAGAAAGAATTAAGATACTTTAAAACACATTGCTTCCTCCATCGGTTATTGTCATAAGAATGGAAGCTGTTAAAATGTTACTGTAGTTAGCACAACGCCTGAAAGTGAATTTAATTGCAATAAGAAGCAAACAAACAGAGCACAATGAAGTGGCAAATTTGAAACATGATATATTTGTAGTGGACTTCTAGTTTTATTATTGTATGTCGAACATAATGAAGGCGTTGTGAATATTATTATTCTAATCACTAATGTAAGCTAAATAAAGATAAGCTAAATAACAATAAAGTAATAACATATGGTACAAATAACACGTCGATTCAGTATAGAAGTTCTACAAGTCATCAGACGCTTCTCATATTTTGTGTGCGAAAAACATGGCGACTCCTAGTTCGGCGAGTGTCCACATGCGCTGAAAGAGCACTCAAATCATAGGGTCAACCCCTCCTCTATGTACAATGTTCTAGATCGTTGTATAAAACACAGAAAATAAGCCTAAAATGTTAGTCTACTATTTTGTATCCCCAAAGTTATCTTCAACTATTTTATTTATTCAACAGGGGCCATTTGTTCAGATTATTTTTCATATATTAAGTTGTACTGTTTTATTTTATATGCACTTATAAAATAAAACAGTACACTGAGAAAATTTCTTTAAGTTAAATATTTTCTTTCTAAAATTTTATATTCAATAATAGTATATTTTGGAACATTAGTCGATTAATACATGAAGAATAAAAACATTTGGTGTGTAGTGATAACCAAAATATTACAATAATTTGCAAATACAGTAGAATCCCGGTAATCCGAAATAACTACGGGTGTGGTCTGTTCGTCTCCGGAAATGTTCGGATTACCCGAAAAAATGTATCGTATGAATACAAATACATCTATAGGATTAGCATAAAATGCAACGTATCATGCGATATAAGAAAATGGCAACGATGTGAGAAAATGGAATCACATTATCATCATCGTATGGCATTATCAAGCAGATTCAGTTCCTTGCGGCAAAAGAAGAGTACCGATTTTGCAAGTTTCTCTGAATGAAAATTACTGCTACATAAACATGTGATATACACCGTGTTATCAATGCAAAAAACTATTGATCTAGACAAATTGTGTTCCAGTAATTCGTTCTTAAGTTCTACAGTAATTATAATTAATTTATTTACACAACAAATTAACATTTTATTTATTTTGTTTATTTTTCCACCATTCCGAATTCTGTTCGTATTAACCGAAATTTCGGATACGCGAGGTTCGGATTAGCGAGGCTTTACTGTATTACACAATTCATCAATTTAAAATTTATCAGATCAAATTACTTCTATCATTTATTAACTTGCTCTATGTGACAAACTGGTTTTCAATCTCTGACTTCGTGTATCCTCTGAGCAGTTTCAAAGTTATTTATAAAATTTGGGTGAACAAATTTATAAATTTTGAAAGGTAAATAAATATGTACATAAAAATATACAATTGAGAAGTGTAAGCAATGCTCTGTAAATATCCTATAAATATAATATGCAATTGTGAGTTCTTTAATAAGCGCTTACCCGCTGGTCTCTGTGTGAAGCTTTTACGAGCAATGTCCTACGTGTTCTCAATGTTGGCAAGATTTCTATTTTTTGATGGTTAGAATGATTAGTGATTCCGGACACGTCGACTGCTAAGATCATTAGTCCCATAAGTGTGATACACGTTTTTCCTTGGGAAGTGGCGGAGATCTTTCCCATAGGCGGTGAGATTCGCCGCTGATCTATCATCGCCTAGCGGGGTTTCCCTCCACCAGGTATCTTCCACGAGCGAGGCATCACCCCAGCCGGGACAAGCTCCCGACCGGTCTCCCGGCATATCTGGTGGTGTACTCTGCATGTTAGTGTAAATGTGTGTAAGTATGCGGTGAGGATAGCGCAAGCAAGAAGGAGGAAATATGCGTGATCTATGGCCCGTATGTTAGAGTACCGCTCCCTCATTCGTGTTGATCGGAGAAACCACGGAAAGCCACTGATCGGAGCTGCGTGCCTCTAGAATTCTCCTACAGACTGCAGCTGAACTCCAACGGAAGAGATGGGTCAGGGCATCAACTGTTCTCACTGCAGTCTCTGATCGGGAAGTCCTGTGTGTAAGTCTCGACGGCGGCAGGATTTTCGACACTGGCTAGATAACTAGGTCGAGTTTTGACACTTCCTCGAGGAGAATTCTAGCGGCGGCTGCGGTTATTGGTCTCCATGGTTTCTCCGATCAATACCAGGAGAGTAACGGAGGCAGTACCCTAACAAACGGGCCAACGACCGTGCGCGATGTTTCCTTCCTCTTCCATGGCCTATCCTTACACACACATACACACATTACATATATATATATATATATATATATATATATATATATATATATATATCATATATATATTATAATATATATATATATAAATAATATATATATATATTGACACTAACATGCAGTGCACTACCACACATGCCGAGAGACCGGTCCGGAGCTTAGAGCTTCTCCCATTTGCAGCGGTGGCCTCCTCTCCTCCAACGGTATTTGGGCAAATGTGTTCCAGTAGCATACTCACGAGAACGGCCCGTCTCCGTGTATGGTGGTTTCCTTGCCATTGAGCCTCGTGTGTCCCCTGGCCGAGTACTGGCCGGTGGCGTTGACGACGGGCACCGTCAGGGTGAACCAGACGGTGGGGTTGGGCGGCACGGGCGCGCCGGCGGCCGGCTGCAGCGTCTGCGTGGCGAAGGAGGCGAAGCCCTCGACGCGCACCTCGCGCAGCGACACGTCCGCCGCCAGCGCGGGCTCCTGGCGCACCGAGAAGTCGTAGCGCTTCGCCCGCAGCGGGTCCAGCACCGGGATGTCCATCGCCGGCAGACCCTGCGGGCGTGCATTGTCCCCTCGCGCTCCCTTCCGCGTTTCGTCTGTCGCAACTCACTCCCACGACACGGCTGTGCATCTAAGCGCTTTCCTTTCGACCGGGAGAGATGGCTCTGATGGCACTGCAGTGCCCTTGACAGGGAGGTCCAAGGCTACCACTGCCGACAGCGCGAGGATTTTCGAAACTCGCCAGATAACTAGATCGAATAAAATCGCTGTCTGGAGGAGAATTCTAGAGGCCGGCTGCTCTATTCGGTAATTTTCCGTGGTTTCTCCGATCAACACCAGGCGAATGACGACATAGTGCACTAACAAACAGAACACGGACCGGGCGCGATCTTTCCTTTCTCTTCCTTACCCTAGCATCAGCTCTCACTTACACACATTTCAATGTATTGCGCTACCACGCATGCCGGGAGACCAGTTTAGAGCGTGTTACGGTGGGGGTGGTGCTTCACTGGTGGGAGGAACCTGGCTGGGGAAAACCCCGCTAGCTGACGTTGGGTCGGCGCCGGATCTCACTATTCAGTGAGAGAAAAATCGCCGCCACCTCCCGAGTAAAAACCATGCACTACACTTAGGGGACTTAATAATCTTAGCCGTTGAGGTGCGCAGAATCACTAATCAATCAATTGACAAAACTACTAAGGACAACTAAGAACTTTTGCATAGATAGGAATTCGAGCTTTTTACTTTAGGATATATCGTTATTTTTTGCTTTAAATGAAAGGTAGTGGGCCCCAGATGAATCGCAGACTTCTAAACGCCAAATTTTAATAAAATTATGAAATTAATAGAATGAATGCTGTTTGTGTAATGTGTTGTTTGGTTGTGTCAAGGAATTCTTAGAAAAGATTTTGGTCTAGCGCAAACAAAAATGTGCGAATGTGACGTTTAAGTTAGCAAAACGAATTTAGAGAGTTTTATATAATTTCAAAAAAGCTGAAGTCATTAGCCGAATCGCTTAACTACGCTCCGTAAAGTCACCGAAGTTAAGCATCCCACAGAATCCAGAATAGGTGACCATTTGGATAAACTCAACGCCGGTTATGAAGCCGAGACTAGCCGAAGGGATAAAAGGCAATGACTGACAGGGACGTTATGAGACAAGGCAAAAAGTAAACGGAGAATAACTCCATGTATATAAGCTCAATGCCGAAATGGGTAAGAGTCATAATAGCGAAAAAGGCGCAATGTAATTTTCTTAAGTGTTTTTAAATGCAATAATTAGTAAGAGTATATAGACACAATATCCAGCAAAATACGAAACATTTAATCCTTTACCAAAAATCTTACTATAATTATGCGGGATAAATTACATTTTAAAATTAAGATGGCTTGGAGAACTTACTACAGTTTACTAACCTCAGGAAACATAGATCATTTCAATTGCGTTTTCTAAATCATGTTTAAATATGTGTTTACAGTGAATAATTATTATATTATTCCAACATTTGTCCATCTTCCACATTTTATTAGTCTTAGACAATAAATACTGAACGATATGAAACAAAATTTTGGAGGTGGTTTGCCGTGTAGTACCTACGTAGTACTACTTTTCTGCTTCAACTTTTGAACGATTATTTCTTTGTAATCGTTGTGTAATAATGTTGTGTAATAATGTAATCGTTGTTAAATAATGTAAAAGTAAGAATGTGGAATTCTATTACAAAAATTAAAAAATAATCAAACCACAAAAGTAAACATTTTACTATACATTAAAACATGCCAAAGTCATCTAAAACATTTTTACATCTTCAGTGGGTTACCCAAGCAACGTGGATAACATTAAAACACAGCAGCGGTTTTGTTTTAGTGTGATGTGGTTGATCCACGTTGCTTGGGTAAAACCCAGTGAAGTTTGTAAAAGTGTTCCCAAAAATTTACTTAGGGATGTTTTAATAAATACTGAAACGTTTATTCTTGTGGTTTACCTATTTCTTAATTTGTATTAGGGAGAACCACAAGATATCTGCTTCTGCCACTGAACTCTATTATACATTTTCTACTCGTCTTCCTTTAGTTAGCATTTGATCGTATGTGTTTAGCTATTTCAAATTTATTTTCGAATATGTTCTACACCTCCAATATTAAAACCAGAATTTTTTCTCGTTGCTATTTATTCTTCAATTGAAAAGCGTTTTGCAGAACGTGCCCAACACACAAAAATATAAAGCAAATGCACGCTTAAGGCAAATAACTTCCTTTAATTTTTCGCAACCGATGTGTGGAGTACCGACCTTTGTAAGAAGAAAAGCTAAAACATATATTAATGTTCTTATATTAATAAATTACAGAATTGAAGAATGGTAGATATTATTGATTAAATTATGGAAACTAATGTGGTTTGGATGTATATATACATCCCACACATTCATTTCATTTTCAACGTGCATCCTTGTAGTTTCAATTTTAAGTCATAGCCCAACTTTCCAGCCATTTTTCAACTGTACTGATTCTAGTTACGTAGATTTTTCTGCGTAAGTTCATTCAAATGTTCATCTTTAAATGATCGTCATGAACTTTTTTAATCTGAGTAATATGTGAATAATAATATTCGAAATTTCAATGTTAACATTAAAAATAGGACCTCTGCCGTGTCTGAGTGTATTTCTCTCTATTCTTATAAGAAATGTAAAGAACAAATTGGAGCCATTTTTGAAAACAATTTAAAATGTTCTCTAGGAAACATCTAAAATACCCAAAAAATTTAAAGAATTATTTTCGAAATTTTAGGAATTCGATTCGGGTCAGATCGACTGGAGAATATTAATTATGTAACATCTAACGTGTAGTTAACTCTCTATTGCTTCTTGTACATGTAACCCCATTTCTGATCAATTCACATTTGTACCGTTTGCCCTAATTTTCCAATTTTATTTCGTCATCATGAAGACATCTTAAATGAATTATGTATAAGCAATTTTTTTTTCATTCTTGAATACCAGATGTCGATTTAGCCGTGATCGTCAAGGCATTGTACACCCATGGCCATGACTTGCGTCGGTTGGAATATTCATCCAAAACCGTGCTTAGCTGCTAAATACCTGTGGTTTAGTCGGAGGGAGATGCCAGTGTAAAGCAAACGGTGGTTAGTCCGCACCGAAGTTGATGGGGCATACCTGTATTAAGGTAAGATCTGACGGTTTTGCTACTACTTATACTGTATTCGTCTTATGCTATTCTTGCAGATAGGTCTGCGGGAGAAATTCTTCTCCTCTCTTTTCTTACTGTCAAGTTTTTCCAATGGTTCGGAGATAGAAATGAATATGCTCATACATGTCGTGGGTATCTCTTCTGTTGTGCGAAATGTGTTTACATGCATATCCTGCACTCAACGTGGAATCCTGCAGAATTGAAAATGAACTATTTGACGCCTTTGGTTGAAAAATAAAAGTAAACGTTTTATATCATTTGCGTATCAATTACAAAAAAATGCGTCCGAACAGTGGCTCAAAGCAGCCCAACGCGTCTTACGTAAGTCGCTGTAGTCCCTCTGACCGGGAGGTTCTAGAGTTAAAGTCCCCACGGTGGCAGGATTTTCGACACATTTCTAGCTAACAAGCTATATCGAATTCAATTGTTCGAGGAGAATTCTAGCTGCCGGCTGCTCTGACCGGCAGTTCTCCGAGGTTTTGCCGATAAAACCAGGCGAATGCCGGAGCAGTATCCTAACAAACGGGCCACGGACCGCGCGCGATGTTTCCTTCCCTTCCTTGACCTATCTTCACCCCGACTTACACACACATTCACTACACTACCACAGATGCCCGAGACCAAAAGACCTTGTCACCTGAGGGTGGGAGATACCTGGATGGGAATACCCCGTACGCCGCCTCCTCGTTCGGCGTCGAATGTCACCATCTAGCGGGGAAACATCGCCACCTCCCATGATAAAACACGCACTATATTTACGGGTATAATAACTATAGCAGTCGAAGCCCCCGGAAACACTAATAGATCAAAGAAGCGACTCACTTCGACGATGAGAGTTCGGAGGTCCTCCAGCTCATCGTCGATGACAGTGCGCCCGTGTTGCTTAGGGGCTGCGTTGATATCTTCGAGGGACGGGGAGGAGAGGTCCTTGTCCAGATATTTGCCACCAGACGCCGCCAGCAGCAACAGCAAAACGGACAGCAGCCAGAATGTCACTATGCTCCGTGGGAACGCCATGATGTCGAGGCGAAAACCACAGCAGGAGAGTACAGACCTCGTGGCAGCGCACGCGATTACAGTGTGTGAAAGTTCCTTTTTTTTGTCAGTTATGGAAACATCAGTTTTGGTACATGACTTGCATTGTTCAAATAATTAAATGCTAATATAGTGTGTGATTATACGGCGATAATGCTGCATGTTTTTCCGTCCTTCCATTCTTTTTTGTTGCAACTGCACGTTTTTCGGAATATTGTTTGGAGATAAGAAAACATAGTACTTAGGATTTTCTGTCATTCTTAAAACGTGTCATACTTCCGTACGTAGGAAGTCATCTCTTCTGTTCCTTACTGTGAACTTGATGCGATGTGCGTAGCTGTTCTTTGTGGTAAGTCTTGTGACGTGCAAAGTTCCAGTATGCTCTTCCTCTCATTTTTGTTATTTGTATTCTGTTTGTTACTCTCGCTTATCTGGGAGTTCAATGATGTGAAAAACTGAAGAAATATTATTTTTACCTGAAAAATGTTTCAATTGGAAGATCATTAAGCATGTTAAATCGGTTTACAAAGTTTAAGAAAATAATATTTATACGTATATGGGTTAATCTTGGGTTTGCGTTGCCCCTTAGTCATGACAACCTTAGCTACTGTCACTACCATCAAAATGTATTTAATTATTTTATATGCGTTTTCTGAGATAATGTTATTAGTTTTACTGTCATAAAAGAATGCAGCTTTGAAAGTATTTGCTCGGAACGAAAGCTTTAGAGAGGTGAAGAGCTGATTACATTGTTCTCAC